TTTAATGCCTCTGAATCTCAGATGAGTCTGCATCCTTCTGAACTCCATCATTGTTTCAGATCTTCTAATTTGCTGAGTCAAAGAATCTTGTTTTTCTTCCATTTGTTGTATCTTCTCATCCATTTCTGTAGTCTTGGTTGCATTATCCTGTATTTCTTTTTTGACTCCTTCCACTTCTTGCTTGATTGAAGTTATTTCTGAGGTAACCAATTCCTTTATTGCTGTTATATTTTTTTCCTGGACTTCTTCAAGTTGTTTCAAATGAATCTGAGTTTGCTTTGCCATTTGCGTCTCCAGTTGTTTCTCTATTTGTTCTTCCAGTTGCTTAACTATCTTAGCCCCCAGTGATTTTTCTATTTGTTCCCCCATAGCTTGAATTGCATCAGTCATCCTCTTCTCCATCGCTTCCATGGCGGCCTGCATCTCTCGTTTCTCCCTTTCCTTGGACATTCTGGGGGTTGATGTAGATCCTGTCCTTGGTCTCACAACTGGTTTAACTTCTGGGTCTGAATCGGCTCTTTTCTTTCCTCTTCTGGTCTCCGTTTTGGCGATTTCACTACAGTGCGCAAATTCACAAACAAATAGTCTCTTCTAGATAATAAACTGTAGATCAGCCAAATCGCTCTATTTGCGCTCGTCAAAGACCCTCAGATATAAGTTTAAAAAGTAATTTTAGTTGAAGTCCTCCTCAAAATGTCGGGCGCAACTTCTCTATGGTAAATTGGTATAGAGTAGGTCAGTTTGTTGTTTTGCAGGTCCCGTCTGTTCGCATAAACTCACATCCGGTCCTGCACCATAGGGAGTCCGATCTTCTTCCTGTTAACTGCTCCCCTTCTAGGGTTTCTGCTTCCTGTTCAACCCACTCGGAACTCTTCTTTGGTTACACAGGCCTACTCTTCCCGCGATGTATTTCGTCAGTTTCGATTTTACGGCTGCGCGCACATCTCAGTCCTCACCACAGGAATGATAAACAATATACTTTTTTACGATTTTAAAGCCTTCAATCGACTTTTTTCTTTTCTGGAATCGGATTTCTGGGAATGTCTATTCATTATCCGCTCAACCGCTTGTCTCAGATTACTTCTTAGCTTAGTTCAGGTAAGCGGTACGTTTATTGTTATCTAGCACGATCAAAATCGGGTTTCGCATTGCTTCTTTTCACTCACTGTTGTTGCCCTTCTTCAAGAGATCGGCTGATGGAAGATTTAAACCGGTATTCCGGCTCGAACGGCCACTGGAGAGTTGCTTGGCACTTGCCCTCTTCGCGGGAGGAGATCAAAGCCTGATTCAGCTTCTTCCGAAACTCAATCACGCCAATCTCATACTCCCTCTTGGGCGCCGCTGCCTGCTTGTCGCCCCCCCTCGCTGGGGAGTGATGCGTTGGGCTAATAACTACCCAATCTGTCAGAAGTGGCCGTCGCTCACTTCGCACGATCGCGAAATGCATTAGTCCTCCATCTTAGCTCGACCGGAAGCCAAATAGGTGGTTATTCTAACATGGAATCCCCACCATGAATGGTGATATGGCACAGCCCCGGGGTGTGTGTGTGTTTTTCTCACCATATGCTCTAACCTTTGTCAGGGTCTTTTGCACTTAAGTAATCTTCTGAATCCAAAATGGGGATGAAAGTGCTCAGTCAATATTTAAAAGTGCAAGTCAGCTCTACTGGCACCATTCATCCTTCCAACAAAATGCACTGCAATTACAAAAACTGTGGCACCATAATAACTAATTCTTGTTTTATTTTTATTATTATTTATGTTCATAGCTTTAGTCCATGAAAGTTTATGCTGGAATCAAATTGCAAAGTTTTGCTGCAATAAACTAATATTTCAATTTTTTTGCTGCAACTGATACCCCTTTGGAATGCATAACTCCAGGGATTGCTATTGGCTAGTTAAATTAATAGTCACTTATAAATGTATCTTCAGAGATGCATGTGTGTTGATCACACTATCTAGTGTAAACAAGTTCTTGGTTTACTACTAACCCTGTCTCATGTCCCTGAAGGGCACACTCCTGACCCTGGGGGACTGGCATGACTATTTTTTATCTTTACCTATTGTCAAGATCTTTCCCTCAGAATTATTAACTTAAACATCTACCAGAGTCAGATGTCACAAGATCCTACCTCCAGTAAATATGGAGTCACTGAGGTCCTATGCAGATTCAGATTTATTAATACGGTCAAAGACCAGCATAGGTCCTATACTCCCAAAGTCTAATAGATAGATACTTTCATTTCCTTTGACCAATACCCTAGCCTCTCCTGCGTGATACTTTTTCACTGCCTCCTAAAAACTCATAAAGAATTCTAAAACGAACAGACAAATGCTGTTCCATCTCTGTGAGGAGCTGATATACTTGACGTGTGCATAGGAAAGGACCCATTTTGTCTTAGCTTTAAGTATTTATGAGAGAAGGAGGGGGACAGAGACAAGATGAACTATCCCCTGGAACTATGAAAGACAATACTTTTTATCGTCATCTGTCAGCTTTTGAACGAGAGGATCCATGAGTTTAGTGCTCATCAGCCTCTGAAGCTTGGCCTCATTGCATTTTGCCATTCTGGTCAGTTATGCCTTTATTGGCTTTAACCACTTGGATTAAGCCTGTCCAATGGTTTATTTTCCTAGAACAAAGACAAACACTTTGTGACAGAACACCTCAGGTTCCGCACAAAGTTATGTAGCATCTTGGGAACCCTGCCAGTCCCTTAGGAGCTAAGTAGCACTTTATAAAACAATACTTCCCATTTCAATTTTTCAAAAGCTGGCAAATGTATATATGCTTCATCTCAGGCCAAAGATCAGAAGACAGAAAATACAAATATGAAGGGTCGAGAAATGCACAAAAAGTTGGGCAGAGAGACACCCCAACCCTCTTAATAGTGCAGTATCTTAAAGATCTCTGGCCAGACTCCAGTTTTACGTGAAGGCCTGTAGGAGAAAGAAATGGAGGGTGGTGGGCAAACATCCCGCTCCCTTTGCACAAAGTGGGCAGCGAGCAAGTCCTATTGCTACAGCCATACCAGTCCCTCCACAAATTTCTCTTGCCTCTGGGTTGGCAACTGGGTGGGGGAAGGAGGAGGGACTGGTACTTCCCAAGGGGTCGTATTTGGTTTCACAGATTCCAATTGCTGATGCCTACTATAGACACTGAAAATGTCGAGACTGCAATAAAGAAGGCCAATGCTATGCTGGGGATTATTAGGAAGGGTATTGAAAACAGATCAGCCAATATCATAATGCCCCTATATAAATCAATGGTGCGACCTCATTTGGAATACGGTGTGCAGTTCTGGTCACCACACCTGAAAAAGAATATTATAGCTTTGGAAAAAGTGCAGAAAAGGGCAACTCGAATGATAAAAGGGTTGGAACACTTTCCCTATGAGGAAAGGTTAAGGCGCTTAGGGCTCTTTAGCTTGGAGAAACGACGACTGAGGGGTGACATGATTGAGGTTTATAAGATTATGCATGGGAAAGAGCAGGTAGAGAAAGAGGTACTTTTCTCCCTTTCTCACAATACAAGAACTCGTGGGCACTCCATGAAACTGCAGAGCGGTCGGGTTAGAACAGATAAAAGGAAGTACTTCTTCACCCCAAGAGTGATTAACACATGGAATTCACTGCCACAGGAAGTGGTGGCGGCTACAAGCATGGACGGCTTCAAAAGGGAATTAGATAAGCATATGGAGCAGAGGTCCATCAGTGGCTATTAGCCATAAGGTATAGCTAGGGGCTCTGGGGCAAGTGATGCTCTGTCTTCTTGGTGCTTGGGGGGGGTCAACAGTGGGAGGGCTTCTAGTGTCCTGGCCCCACTGCTGGACCTCCTGATGGCACCTGGTATTTTTTGCCACTGTGTGATACAGAGTGTTGGACTGGATGGGCCTTTGGCTTGACCCAACATTGACGTCTCTTATGTTCTTAAGAAAGGATGCATTTGCATAATACCTTTTCCCATTTATCTCTCTCCAAAACTGCAGAACCTCCCAAAGGTGCAACAGGACTCCCTTCCTGGGCCATTATTCTGACCAGTGTGGCTGTTGCAGTTGCTTCTGTGCTCCTTGTTTGCTTGGTAAGGAATTGGGTGTCTCACAAAAGTCACCGACAAGTGTCAAAATGGTAGTGTGTGCACAGGTGTGTGAGCGAATGGATGGGTTTTAAGGCGACTGACTGTGGTCGTCTGAGCACGTAGGCCCAAGTTAGGAATGACACCACAAAACAGGTCTAGAAACAGAATGAGACTTCTGCGTGGAAGAAATATTAAGTTGCCACCTGCTAAGGTTGAAATCAGGGGTGAAAGCAACTTTTTTTAAAAAAATGTGTTGCCTCTATCAAGAAGTTTTAGGTAGAAGAAAGGAGGAAAGTTGTGCTCCATACTGGATCATACTTTCACCCAGGGCTATTTTTGGGCAGGAACGCACAGGAACGGAGTTCCGGCTGGCTCCTGAGTTGGCCACACCCAGCAGGAACTCATTAGCATAATAGGCCACACCCAACAGCAGAAACTCATTAGAATTGGCTACATTAGGGGTGTGTGGCCTAACATGCAAAGGAGTTCCTGCTACAAAAAAAGCCCTGGGTTTTGACAACAAACACGGTAAACAGAATAAGAAGCAAAAGGTGGGTGTGGCTAGATGAGCACGCTTCTGGTAACATGGGGGTGTGGCCTAATATGCTAATGAGTTTCTGCTGTTGGGTGGGGCCTATTATGCTAATGAGTTCCTGCTGGGCTTTTTCTACAAAAAAAGCCCCGCTTTCACCACTAGTTGAAATGAAACCTAGATCCACAAACTGTAGTAGTCATGGGGCCAGTAGGGTGAGCTGGAAGTGCCACCTTTCAAATCTTATCTAGATAGCCCAGACAAGCCCAGTCTCGCCAGATCTCGGAAGCTAAGTGGGGCTGACCTTGGCAAGTATTTGGATAGGAGACCTCCAAAGAATACCAGGGACAGGAGCAGAGGCAGGCTATATCAGCCACTTCTCTGAACATCCTCCACGTCCCACTAGGGGTCGCCAGAAATCGCCATGTCTTCCAGGCATGGGAGGGCACACACACAAATGGAAAAAATACAAGAAAATTCCTTACTTCCAATAGGCAAGTTCAGGTGAGCCACTATCTCTCAGCCTCACCCACTCCCCATCAGTACTACGGGAATATAAATTGCGGTCTTTCAGGATTGCTATAAAGATGACTGGAATAAAGAGTATGCTTTGAACACTCTCAAGTGCTGTATCATAAGGAGAAGATGGTTGTTGGCTTGGGTAGGTTTCATTCCTCACAGGGAGGTCACTTGAGAAGGCATGGGTTGTAACAAGGAAAGGTGATGGTGGCGAGACTCTCAGATTCTGTGTTCATTGCCAAGAGTGTCTGGAACTGACTGATTAAAGTGTGGGTGGGGGGGGTGCATAATGAATCCCAGCATGCATCTCCTAGAGACACCGGGTCTGCCTGTAGAAGAGTGGTTGGTTCTAATACTGAACAAGCATTCGCAGTATGTTTCTGCTTTACCTCCAGCTCATATGACCTTTGTTTTCCATGGTCTTTTCTGTAGGTTTGCTATCTCCTAAGGCCAGATAGTTTCACCGGTACCTCCTATCCTGCTTATCGGGACCACTACGCCTTAAACACTTTCTGAGATCACAGAGAGTGAAGGAATAACGTTTCTCCATCTTCTAGCGATATAAGCGAAGCATCTAGACTAATCTTCAATTTTTACAATAAACGTTTCTGGAGCCACTGCCATGGATTCAACCCTGATGGTCTGTCGATAATCCCGATCTCCTTCGGAGTGGAACCAGGGCTTCTTGCCAAGCATTTGTCTCCTCTTGGAGAAGCAGAGGGATACTAAAATACTGGGTCCAAACAAGTGTCTTTGAAAGATCTGTTGCAGACTGTCTGCTTGTTGTATTTTTTATCCAACAAGCCAATGGGAGTCTTGGTCCGTTTACCTCAGTTGAGGTCCTTCTAGCTCAGTATTGAAAAATCTGGGTAGGAGCGTGGTGGTTCGGAATGCAAAGAGCCAGGGGGGACTTGGGTTCAGTTCCATACTCAGCCTTGAACCTCACTGGCTGAACCAGCACGCTTCTTTGAATGTCTTTGGATATCCCTATGTCCTAACTATATAATTAGATGGGAAATGATGTTACTTGCACTGACTCTGAATAACAGGGTAGGCTATATAAACCTAAATGAATACTTTCTCCTCACTGTTCCACATTCACACATGTGAGCTATGGAATGTACAATGTAAGTTGGACGTGGGTTGTTTTTTTCTAATTTATTGTGGATGTTGTTAATAAAGTGACAGTACTTTGTGACATGTGCTATCTAATCAATTACTGGTCCTATTGACACGGTTTAGTATTGACTATCATTATTCCCCAATGTACTATGTTCAAACATATCAATGAAGATTTTCAATATTCATAATAGCTATAGTTCCTAATGGAGCCTTCCGTGGGCTTTTGGTATTGTACCAATAGCTATTATGAATACTATAGCTATTATGAATATTGAAAATCTTCATTGATATCTTTGAAACGTCACCAGTGGAAATGAATTATTGAGAGACAGTGTTTGTCTCACATCTTTGTTCGGAAAAAGATCAACCTTCGAAACGGCAAGACATTCCGGAGATCACCATCATTTTTCTATTATTCTGTATATTATTGTTCACTTTTTGTATAATTTGATTCTTAAAGAAATGTATTAAGCGTCACATTTTCACAGATTTTTTGGTTTTCGTATTGCACAGATTTATGGCCATTTTATGGCCATTCAGGGGTGACTCTGCAGTTGGCCTGATGTAGTTGAATGCAGTTTTGAACCGCATCTTTTTCTGTTCCAGTGTGGGTTTGGTAAAACAACTGAGCAAATGCTAAATGCAGATTGGGCCTCACCTGTTACAATGTCACTTTCCTGACCATGCAATGGACCTACCATGCCCTTGCTCTTTTTCTTACTTTGAACATAAGAAAAAAACCCTTTTTTGTTGTTTTTAGCATCTCTTGCCAGACTAAGCTCATACTGAGCTTTAGCTTTCCTAACTCTCTCTCTACAAGCACTAGTTATTTGTTTGTAGTCATCCTTGGTTATAAGGCCTTCCTTCCATTTCCTAAATGTGTATTTCTCAGATCTTTAGAAATCTGCTTATGGAGCCACCTCGGCTTCTTTAGGCTCCTCCCATTTTCCCTTCTCATAGGAATCGTTTCTCATAGCCTATGCCGACGCCCAAACCACTGGTAAATTAGACAGGCTGAGTTCAGTTTGGTGGTGGCAGAACTGAAGAGAGGTGGGTCAGGGGAAGACAGTGGGATAGCGCCCTCAGACACATGCTTGCATGACTGTTTCATCACATTCAGAAGGTGCCAGATTCCATCTGTGGGATCGTCACTTAAAATGACCTAGCAGTAAGTGATGTGAAATACCTCATCCTGAGACACTGGGAAGCTGCTGCCAGCCAGCGTTAGTGACAAAGAAAAAATAATTGTGCAGTGGGAAGATGATTTTATTCCAATGTGATAATAATCCCGTGTTTCACATTGAGCTTTCTCAGGGAGGTCTGTGAAATATAAAAATCAGCAACATTCCTGATAAACTTTTCTTCCCCAGTATAAGTGATACAGGAAGTGTTACCCTTCTGCTTATTATGCAGCCATTCAAGGAGTTTTGCCAGAAAAAAAAGGGTGGCAACCCAACAATTATAATAGAAATGGGGAAGAGCATGATAACAGGCCCACTCTGAGGCTGCTCAGTGCTCATTTATCAGAGGAAGTATTAATAGTAGTACTTTGGGTGTCTGAGTGGGACAGCACCCCCCCAAAAAAAAGGGTTCAAAAATGAGGACCTGCAAAGGGGGGGGGGGATTGTGTTGTGCTTTCCTTTTCCATGGGACACTGGCAATGAAAATGAAGGCATATTTTGACTTCCTTAAACCTCTCTTGGCTCCAGAGTTGCAAAACAATATTTCCCACAGATTATGTCAATCTGAAGGGAGCCACAGGGACATGTCTTGCTGCCACTCAGCCGTTACGCAGCTGAAACCTGTTCCCGTTAAGAGATCTTTTCATGTGGACATTCCTCTTCGGCCAGGAGATGATGCAGAGGGAGCTCGACATTCATTTTTCTTTCAACGTGGAGGAGGAGCCGCACCTTTAGGAACGACAAGTGGGTAAAAGTATGTAGGTAGGGCAGCCACCAACAGGCACCGATGAGGTCTGTAGCTTTTATAAGCACAGAATCTGGACCCAGGTGGATTGGTGCAGCTGTGTCCTTGTTCCCTGCAGGACAGCAAGATGAGATTTCTGTGGTTTCTGGAATCAGGGATCAATTATCTGCTCTTCCTGCTGTTTTCTATCTTCTTAGCAGGTAGGCCATCTGAACACAGGGCAACATGAGTGGTTAGCAACTGGACTGGTCGGGGTCATAGGGTTGCCAAGCCTAGGCTGGGAAATTCCTAGAGATTTGGGGCAGGATCCTGAGGAGGGTGGGGTTTGGGGACAGGATGAACCTCAGCAGGGCATAATTCCATACAGTCCATCCTCCAAAGCAGCTGTTTTCTCCAGGGGAACCGATTGTTGTAGACAGAAGGTCTCCGGGCCTTACCTGGAGGTTGGCAAGCAACCTTGGCAGGAAGAAAAACCTTGACCTGAGTTCAGGAGGGAAGGACTTCTTTTCTTCCCCTTTTCTTTCTAGGGCTTCATACATTTAGAGCCAGTGTGATGCGGTTGCAGGTAGCTGGACTGTGTCAGAGACCTGGGTGCACAGTCCTGCTTGGCCCTGATGCTGACTGGGTGGTCCTGGGTCAGTTGCTACCTTTCAGTGTTGTTGTGAGGATTAAGAGGGAAGGACAATGCTTGCCACCCTGAACTTTTTGGAAGACGTGTTAAAACGTAGATGAACGACTAGGGGTGAAGAACCCCGAACTAGTATTCTCTGCCTATCCTGAAAGACAGAGTGCATGAAATACAGGAGGTGGAGAAGGAGTTAGTGTATACCTAGCAGTGTCTCCTCCTCCTTGTTTCCATGTATGTGGTAGTTAAGGCCTCTTCTACTAACTAGAAAGTTGTGGGCACAGCTGAATGGAGGGCTTTCTGTGTTTGGTCTCCTGTGTCAAATTGACCTGCCAGCCTGAGTTAGGGTTGCCAAGTCTTTTTTACTCATTGGGGGGGGAGCGTTGCCTCGGTCCGGGAGCTGCCCGTGGATGCGTGTGCTCGCCGCCAGAATGTCACAGGAAGTGACGCACGACATAGAGCATGTTGGGGGCATGCATTACCTCTGGTGACGCAGCTTCGGGGGGCAGAGTTCCTCCCGGGGCCCGATTTTGCCGCGGTGGAAATCGGGCCTCCAAAGCGGGGGTTTCCCCGCCCCCACTTGGCAGCCCTAGCCTGAGTTAGGCTAATAGGCCACCTAAGAGTTTATTGACCATTCACCAAGAATGTTCTACCACATCACATAGTTGCAGGGGGTTATTGGAATACCCAGAGAAGCGTTACATCCATACCTGCAGATGTATTCACTTAAAATGGAGGAAGGGCGTTCGATATGCTGTAGAAAGCAAAAAAGTACCATGCTAATTCTTGTAATTCTTTAGGTACAGACTTATACTCAGGGCCGTGGGAGAGATTTTTCAGAGGTACCAATGGCTGTACTAGAAAGGAAGAAGCAGGAAGGCCACACACTGCATAAGGAGACTGCCTGTTGAAATTAGTAGAATTTACTACCTAGTAAATATGCATAGGGTTAAGCTTTAAGTGTAATTTTAAAAAATTGGTTTTCACATACTTTAGACTTAACAACCACCTCTGAGATTTACTTATTTTTAATCCCCCCCCCCAGCCAAACAGCCAATGTGGGGTAGTAGAATACTGGACCAATATCAGGTAGACCAAGGTTCAAATCCATGGCTTGTATGGCCTCGAGCCAGTCGTTGTCTATCTCTCTCTCTCGGCCTAACTTACCACACAGGGCTGTTATGCTGATGAAATGGAGCAGGGGAGAACCAGGGTAAAAATACACTACATAAATAAACATTTTCCACTGTTCCTTCAGGGGGGTTAGGGCAGCATACAACCCCTTGTTATAGTTAAAGTGCTAAGACTGAGTTGGGAAAAACCTAGGTTTATATTTTACCTCAGCAACAAAACTCCCTAGCTAGAGTCAGTTATCAGCTTAGAAGCTTGTAACTCTGTTTAGGATTGTATTGTCAAGCCTCCTACCTCACAGGGTCATTGTGAGACAACAGGCCCACACTGCCTTTAACTCTTTGGAGAGAGGGTGGAATAAAAATGTAGTAAATGAAACATATGATCCCTCAGACACAACATAGCCTCACAGCAACCCTGTAGGGGTACATTAGAGATTTTTGCTTACATCCGGACTTGCAAATTATGTCCTGCATTTTACTCTGCAAATCCAGATACCAAATATGAATTAATCCGTTGGGATCCTGAACTGCCTATACCCCCAAGGATATCTTGCCACAAAGTCAGGAATCATTAGTTATCTGGTTATAAAGGTAAAGGTAAAGGTTCCCTTGCTCGAAAGCCAGTCGAATCCGACTCTAGGGTTGCGGTGCTCATCTCCGTTTCAAAGCCGAAGAGCCAGCGCTGTCCGAAGACGTTTCCGTGGTCATGTGGCCGGCATGACTAAACACCAAGGCGCACGGAACGCTGTTACCTTCCCACCGAAGTGGTACCTATTTATCTACTTGCAATTTCTTGCTTTCGAACTGCTAGGTTGGCAGGAGCTGGAACTAGAGACAGGAGCTCACCCTGTCTTGCGGCACCCGGGTCTTGAACCGCTGAACTACTGACCTTCCACAGCCTGCAGTTCAGCGTCTTAACCACTTGAGCCACCGCAGCTCCTTATCTGGTTATACACAAGCAAAAAGAAAAAAAAGTTATATGAATAGTATCCACTAGATGTCAGTATAGTCTGAGATGCTGTTGACATTTTGGGTGTTTTCTGGATTGAAAGAGCTGGTTTGAAACTGTCACTTCAAAAGAATGCTTCTTCAGTTGACTGCACTTTTTAAAAGGAGAAGGTTATGGTTGAACCTGAGCCTCTGGTACCTGTTTTTTAAGGTCAGGTCTACTGTCAGCAACATGTGAAACAAGACAAGAGCCCTGAGTAAATCGTCAGATTGTCTGCTGATATATGAGGTTAAATAACTACAGAGTCGTTGGGTAACTAGTGTTGCCACCTTTTTAACTTCAGCTCCTGTGCCTTTGAACAGCTTCTTGCTGTAACACAATTTAGAGACCGTGAAGCTTTCCCCCACCATTGTGTCTGTAATGTATGCAGTCACTTGGGAGTAAGACCTACTACAATGTGGCCCCGGTCACATGGGCCGGATATCGCAGGGGGGAGGCGTGGCTGTTTGCCCCGGAGTGAACTACCGTGTGGCAGCGGGATCAAACATCCCGCCGACGTCCCGTGGTTGGGGGAAGGTGCCGGGGAGGTGCCGATCATATGTCACTCCTGCAGCGCGCAAAGAAGTGGATCGGCGGTTTTTTTTTTTTTTTTACCCCAAGTGTTCACATGCTCAGTTGGGTGCTTGTGCGCATCCTGTGGAGACTTGGGGGAAAAAACCCTTTTCGCAAGGGGACATGGGCGGGCGCCAGATGCCACCGGAA